TGTCTTCTTCTGGAAGCTATTTATGCTACTATTAACTGTTGGAAGTCCTGATATGAATAAGCACGGGGCTGTGAACCACAAGGTCTGTGGCTCAAACCCAGTAGTCGCTCCACAGAAACCCTATACAGGGTAGTCTAGTCAGAACTAACAGAAACGAACAACAAAGGTTTGATAAGGCGATGTAAGGAGAATATTTTTGTTTAACATAAAATTATCACTTAAATAAAAAAAAATACAGAACAAGAACCAAGTATTTTTCTCATGGAGTCTCTTACTTTGATGGTGGTCCCATTAATATAATTTAAGATGGAGTAAATGTAACTTGTGGAAACGTTGAAATTTTACTTTCAATGGTGAGAACAATCTCATCAGGGGAAAGAGTGGAAAACGATCTAAAACAATGACTTGATTTGCTTTCTCTCCTTTTGCATTGTGTGTGTGTATGTGTGTGTGTGTGAGAGAGAGAGATTGAGAGGCAGAATGGTGAGGGTTGTAAGTAGAGGTAAAAGAAATGTAGTCGGAGATGAGGATTTCTCAGTTCATGATTTCTGCTTGATAACATTGTATGTGTGTATATGTTAGCCTTTGAGGAGAAAATGTCATTTATCAAATTTTAACAACAACAACAAAAAAATTAAGGTGAATTCCACAGTTAATCAGTGAAAATAAAAATGAGTTAGAGACAGGAGCAATCCACTGCTCTTATGAAAAGTTAGAATGCTTATGTTACAAAACATACCTTACCAATTTTAAGTTCTTATACAATGAATAAGGTGTCCTACTCTATTCAAGGAAGCAAGCAAAAGCCTGCTAGTCTATTGTCATCTCTGAAGCTGGAGTCAGTGGCCTGCCTGCTGAGGAGAGAAAGCCACGACACAGGAGACAAACACCAGACTCTCCCGGACAACTCACCTCCACTCTCCCTTACGTATTGGTTTTTCCCATGGAAGGAAAAAGCTACTGTTAACACTCGTGAAGTTCATGATAAAATCAACAAGTGGCTACAAACGAGATAGATACTTGGTTACTGTTTGTTCTGCTTTGTCCATGCTCAAGCCCACGTCTCCCTCTTTTTGTAATCTAAGTGATACCTCCTTTCTGAGAAGTACTCCTAAACAGGATTTAATAGTATTCTAGTGAAGGCTCCCAGAGTCTCTGTGCATCACTGCTAGCTAGCACAGACGGGCTGAGTTATGCTCCTGGACAAGATGCTGGTCCACGATTAGCAACAGATCAACAAAGGGCTCTCAAGTCAATGTTCATGCATGGGTAGAGAGAGACTGGGCATACCCTGAATTTCTATGTAAATTGTCACTGATAAGTACTTATACACATTTTTTCCTGATAAGAAATCTGAGTTATTTTCAGAATTTCAAAGGCATCACTGACCTAAAAAAAGTTAAAAAGCATTGCATGTAAACAAAACAGTTGGAGGATTAACCATAAACCTTATATGACTCTTTTATTAAAGTATTTAAGCAGAAACACCTGCAAATGGCTTTGCTTTCAACACCAGTGAGTCCTGTTATGTGAGGAGGCTCTTTATTGACTTGTATTATGTAACAAACTTACTTTAAAGGGTCTTCTAAATAGTGCTCATCAGAACTGTCTGATGTGCAATTCACTCATGTAAACAGACTACTCCATTACGGTGGTCCCTCATCAGAAAGGATGCTGAACGTTTCAGGGATGTTTCTCTTTAGGGTGAGCACTGGACCACAAGGTCAGTTTGAATTGCAAGGTTGACAGTTCCAACTCATAAACCACTCCTCGGAAACCCTATACATCAGTCGCTTTTAGAGTCAGAACCGACTCCACTTGCACTTAACAACAACAGCAACAACCCTGCCTTAACCATACCCTTTATTCAGAGACAACAATACACAAATTAATGAAATCACTTTAATTATAGAGCATGAATCTAGCACTGAAATCAGATTCCAGTTTATGACTCAGAGGCGGTATTGGTGTGCAATTTTGCCCAATGTGCGTGTATTCATTTTTGGTGGACTAACAAAAGCTCAGGTAACATAGTGGTTACAAATTAGGCTGCTAATTTCACAATCAGCAGTTCAAAACTACCAGCCGTTCCATGGCAGAAAAGATGAGGCTTTCTGCTCCCATAAAGATTTCCAACCTTGGAAACCCTGTACAGGGTCACTATGCGTCACAGCACATTACAACATGAACCAATCATGAGAGAAAAGATCTGGCAATCTGTTGCCATCAAAATTCCAGGCTAGGTTACACCAGGGCAGGTCCACTGAACACAAACGGGGTGAGAGTGAGTTGGAGGAGACTCACTGGTATACAAAACCAGCCACACGTTGCTCTTGTTAGGTGATGCTGAGTCGGTTCCAACTCCCAGGGATCCTAGGCACAACAGAGCAAAGATGCCGAGACCTGCGCCATCTTCACAACGGTTGTCAAGTTAGAGCCACTTGTCCCTGCCACGGTGTCAATCCATTGCATCACTGGTCTTCCTTTTTGTGCTGATGCTCAAAAGCATGCTGCCCTTTTCCAGGGACTAGTCCACACTGAAAATACGTCCAAAATACGTGACAAAGTCATACCATGCTTGCTTCTAAGGCGCATTCTCTCTCCCTATCCTTCTTCAGGCAGTGCAAGGCGCTTTCAATATTCTTCACCAGTCATTATTCCAATGCATTCATTCTTCTAAGGTCTCTTCCTTATTCACCGGCCAGCTTTCTTTCATATGCATATGAGGCGACTGAAAATACCATGGTTCGGGACAGGTACCTTTTAGTTCTCAAAGTAACATTTTTAATCTCCTAACACTTTAAAGAGGTCCTTTGCAGCACATCTGTCAAATGCAATAAATCATTTCATTTCTTGACTACTGCTTCAATGAGTGTTGATTGTGGAGCAAAGCAAAATGAAATCTTTGAAAACTTCCAACTTTTCTCCATTCATCATGATCTTCTTTATTGGACTAGTTGTAAGGATCTTTTGTTTTCTTTAATCAAGGTGTAATCCATACTGAAGGCGGTAGTCTTTGATCTTTCATCAGTAAACAAGGTTTTACCATCTACATCTCATAGGTTCTTAATGAGTCTTCCTAGGATCTTCACGTCTCCTCCTCCTTCATATAAACTAGCTTCTTGGATGGTTTGTTCAGCAGGCAAATTGTAAAAATGATACATTGAAAGGCGACAACCCTGAGATACACCTTTCCTCCTGATTTTAAACCATTCAGTGTGCTCTTCTTCTGCTCTAATGACTGCCTCTTGGTTTGTGTAAAGAGTTGTGTGCATGAGCACAATTTAAGTGATCTGAAATATTTATTCTTCACACGGTTATCTATAGTTTATTACAATCCAACCAGTCAATGCCTTTGCATGGTCAGTAAAGCACAAGTAAACATCTTCCTGGTATTCTCTGCTTTCAGTCCAGAGCCATCTGATGTCAGCAATGACATCTCAACTTCCGCATCCTCTTCTAGGTCCGGTTTGAATTTCAGCTCTGGTAGTGTAGTGGTGACGAATCAGGCTGTGAACCGCAAGGTCAGCAGTTCGAAACTACCAGCTGTTCTGCAGGAGAAAGAGGAGGCTTTCTGCTCCCGTAAAGATTTACAGCCTCAGAAACCCTGTACAGGGTCGCTACGAGTCAGAAACCAACTCCATGGCACATAACCACCACCCTGTGCATGTACTCCTGAAATAGTTTATGTAGTCTCTTCAGCAAAATGTAATTGCATGTGATAGAAACACTATTGTTCTGTGCTCTGTTGGGCCGCTTCTCTGTGGAAATGGCACAAGCACCGACCTTTTCCATCAGTCAGCCAAGTTTATGACTTCCAAATTTCTAGGCACAGATCACGAGCACCTCCAACTCTGCATCAGCTTGCTGAAACATTTAAATTTGTGTTCCATCCCTTCTTTTTTGTTGTTGTTAAGTGCCATCAAGTTGGTACCAACTCATAGCGACCCTATGCACAACAGAATGAAACACTGCCCGGTCCTGGGCCAACCTCACAATTGTTGCCACACTTGAGCCCACTGATAAGGCCACTTTGCCAATCCATCTCGTTGGGGGTCTTCCTCTCTTTCTCTGACCCTCCACCTTACCAAACATGATATCCTGCTACAGCGACTGGTCCCTCCTGCCAATATGTCCAAAGTATGAGGGACGAAGTTTGGCCATCTTGGCCTCTAAGGAGCACTCTGGCTGCACTTCTTCCAACACGGATCTGTTTGTTCGTCTGGCAGCCCATGGCACTTTCAAGTATTCTCCTCCAACACCACACCTCAAAATCATTAATTCTTCTACGGTCTTCCTTATTCACTGTCCAGCTTTCATATGCACATGAGGTTACTGAAAATACCATGGCTTGGATCAGGTGCAACTCAGTCCTCAAGCTGACATCTTTGCTCTTCAACAATTCTTTTAGAGCCTTGTTTTTCACCAATGCCTTACGTGCAAGACAGAAATGCAGACCCAGGGCCAGTGAAGAGCCATTCTCTACCTTAAATCTGAAACCAGAAAACAACTCCAAAGGCGTCTCTCCTTGGGTATTTTCATGATAAGAGCAGGTTAACAGCTCAGTGTGCTCAGTAAGTCATTAAAAGATTATTATTTTTTTGTTGTTATTCAGGCACAGTGGATAAGCTGAAGACAACATATAAAAGCTGCCGTTTTAAAACCCAAACCTCAGAGTTTGCTTATGGGAAACAGAAAATCTTACCATGCGAAGTCTGATCTGCCCCCAACACATTCCACTCTGCGGGTAGCTTCAAGTGTCTGAATGCCAAGGCGACCTTTTCATCAAGGGAATTCACGTCCCCAGACGGAGGGCCTGACCGGTCAAGGAAGCGGGTGAAGTTCAGAGCCTGCTGGTTGCCAGCACTGGTTGCCAGGAACTGGGCTGCATCGTATGCTTCATCGTGGATGAAGTGGAAATCTTCTTCCGCCACCACAAACACGGGAAGGCCCTCTTTGGAAGCACAGAGCAACACCTTCACTGTCTCACAGCAGTCATGACCTAAAGAAAACACACGCAGCAAAGACAAGGGCATTAGAGTCCTCTGCCCAGAGGAGGGTACTTGGGGTGCGGTGAGCTCTTCCATGTTCCTAAAAGAAATCCCTCCTTCCTCGGAGCAATCACAGCATTTTTCTAAAGTTCTTCCAATGACATTTTCCGTTGTTTTATTCTGTAATATCTGCAGATATTAAATTGTTCCTTAACAATGAGCACCTCACTTTGTATGCATCCGTCTCCACACCTATAACAGAGTGTCTGCCATTGACCGGAATGACTTGTTGCCCTGGGACTCGTCAGTTTTCTGCCTTGGACACATGCAGTTTTCCCACTTTTCTTTCGCTCTCTATTTGTGGAAAAGTTTTGAGCTTTCCCTCTCTCACAGGTTCCGCCTTACACAAATTTTATCTCTCACAGGTCTTACAGGATTAGCAATCAAAAACTGGGAAAATACCTGTTGTTCCCTGATACCAGTCCTTTCCTGTCTCAACCACGAATGCAATGAAAACTTCAATAAAATCACCTGCTTCAGAGAATGCTGGTGTCAGGACTGTGGCTAGAAGTCCCATGAAGGGGATGTTACCACACCAGAAATTCTCTGGGGCCCACTGCAGCCTGGTGGAGAGCCAACAGACCCCAACAAGTTCAGGCAGCGCGCTCAGCCACGTCCAGGAACCAGCCAGCTCGAGCCAGCCTACTGTTCTTCTATAGGTAAGGTAAGGACTTGCTCAAGAAGCACTTCTCTCTTTCTGAATGGTTAGCCTCACAGAATATGAGGAATATATTCATCAAAACACACTCTGATCTCAACTTGCCAGAACTAGGCTCTTACTATCAACATCCTTCTTCTATAAAATAACTTCCTGATGAGAAAAAGGAAACAGAAGTTGAGTTTGTGTTTTCATTATGGACTTATACTGCTTCACGCTTGTTCTCATTAACCACAAGCACCAGTGTGCCCAGCAGGCAGCACTGCTCTTCCACTGGGTTCATGTCAGGGGCACCGGCCAGGAGACGTTTCAGACTGTGACCGCACAAACCAGTCTTTCTGCTACCTTTAGGAGAAAAAAAATGCCCTGCCCACATCGGGATTAATCAGAATAATAATAAGTGGATTTTCTACCTAATTTTCCCCCAGGGTCCTCTGTAAGCCCTTTATCTGTGGCAGAAGAAACATCTCGTTCTATGTAATTCCAGAGTAGCTAGAAATATTTACTAACAAATAACTTCAGTGCTATAGTCCTGGTGTGGCGCTGTAGGATAAACACTCGACCATACAGTTGGTTTGAACTGCAAGGCTGGTGGCTTAAAATCACCATCCACTCCTCAGAAATTCTATACCGAGTCACTATGAGTTAGAACCCATCCAATGACACTTAACAATAACAACTTCAATGCCAGGATTTAACATGTTGTTTTCTCTACACAAAACCTTTATGAAGTATGTATTATCTTCAATCCAATATATGAGAACCAAGAGTTTAAGAATTTGCCCAAAGTAAGTCCTGGTGTGGTGCTGTAGAATAAATCACTGGACCCCAAGTTCGGTTTGAATAGCAAGGTCGGCAGTTCAAACACACCAGCTGCTCCTCAGAAACCCTATGAGTCAGAACAGACTCGATGGCATTTAACAACAAGACAGATAGTAAGCAGTAAAACCTATCACTCCAAGTCAAGTCTGATGCCAAAGCCCATGGCCGATGACCTCACACTGCCTAATAGAAGGCAAGGAGAAAGCGTGAGCAAAATTTCTGCCTGTGTTCTAGCATCTGGAACGTAGACCAATATGTCTACTGAGTAAGAATAATCAGTTCATGAATCATCAAGGTCTATTTTTTATATAACCACATACTCCCACTGCCTTCCAAATCAACGTCTGTGAAAACTATTGGAACGGAGGTAAAGGCGTCTCTGGCTGGTATAAATATTATACATTGTATCTTTATAAATGCATTTCACGTGTGTGTGTGTGTGTGTGTGTGTGTGTGTGTGCACATTCACTGAAATTGGGGTGTAGGGGGTAGGGGGGAATCTTACTATTTCTTTGAAAGACTGCCTGGTTAAAGGAAGACAACAATGTGCACAGACAAAAGCCAACTGACTGAGGTAGATGCTCAGGTAGAGGTTTTCCTGGCAAAATGCAAACGTGTTTCTTTTAAACAAAGCTATAAAATCTGACTCAGGTCTAGTCAACAAATAACAGCTGAATAATTAGTGAGCCCAGGGCACTCTGATTGGACAGTGGAGACGGATAAGAAAGAAGTCTGCACTGATGAATTGCTTCATACTGCCTTTCTCACCAAGGTCTTGTAACTCCAGCTAAATGACTGGGTGTGATCATTCAAATGACGTGCTTGAGGCCCAGCAAGGGAGGTGGCTGCCTGGAAATAAGGTCTGCGGCACCCCTGTGTGGGTTGTTGTTGTTGTTAAGTGCCTTCGAGTCCAGCGACACTATATAGGGTTTCCAAGGAGCAGCGGTGAGCTTGAACCACTGACTTTGCAGTTCAACCGACTTTGCAGTCAGATGCATTAGCCTACAGCACCACACCATGAGTCCCTGTGTGGCGCTAAGCTTGAAAAATGAGACATCCCAGAGATGGCCGGGTGGGACTTGAATATCTTCAAGAAAGAAGAGTGGAGCATGTGTGCCATGGGGTTCCCATGCTGAGAACACCCTAGACCAAGAAAACAGAGAGAGAAACAGCAGGATGGGAACAGCAACTGCACAACCCAGAGGCCAGGGCAAGGCTACAGGTGTAGTGGCCTTCCCAGGCCCTGGAAAAAGCCGAGAATCTTCAGGAAGGAGGCTGACTGGCTGAGTGGAGTGCCTTCAGACGCTCGCTGGAGCTTGACTTGCTGATGACCCCCAAAACTAACCCCAAAACACATTGTGTATACATAAACTCTTACTACCTGCCATAAAAGGCGCTCTAGGAGCATAGTGGTTACAAGTTGGGCTGCTAACCTCAAGGTCAGCAGTTTCAGACTACCAGCAGTTCTGTGGGAGAACCATGAGGCTTTCTGCTCCTGTAAAGATTTACAGCCTTGGAAATGATACCAGGGTCACTATGAGTCGGAACCGACCGCAAGGCACACCACCACCACCATAAACTTGCTGGAGAAATAGATGTTCACAGGGAAGTTCCATTCTCGTGACTGCCTCTGTAGACACAGAACACAGTGTACCGACAAGTCTACAACTGCACTGCAAAGACAATGCCATTCCATAGCACAGTTTCTTTCTACAGGAAAACCGAAGCTGCAGTAGAAAGAAGAGTAACAAGATTTCCTGCTAGTTCCCCGGTGTTTCCCCTTCTGTGCAATTTCCTGGTACCACGAGGGCAAATTAAAAATCAGGAGCCTTTTTCAAAATGGACGCTCTGACGAATGGATTGAGCTTCTTTTGGAATAAGCTTCCCCCAGAGGATTTCGAGAAGAGGAGGAGATATGTCACTGAGGAAACATGGCCTACACTTTTATTCTACTTTTTAAATTGCCTTCTGAGCTTATCCCACAAACTATATTACAACAGGAATATAAAATAATAAATCACGGGGCAGGAGATCTGTTCCAAAACAAGTGAATTATAAGAGATCCTGAAGTATGTTGGAAACTAGCTTTATAGTCAGAGATACTAGAGGTTTGAATTCCAGCTCCTTGGTCAATAAACTTGGTGGCCATGAGAAGGTCACTCAACCTTGAAGACTATTTCCTCAAGTAGAAACTGAAATGGCTATATACAACACACCTGGCATATACTAGGCATATAAAAAGTGGTCATTATTGTTATTAACTACTTATGTGCTCTAGGTCTGCTAACACACACAAAAAGAGATTCCAACACTCTACAAAGCTTTTTCAGCACAGCTCTACAACGCTGTAAAAAGGACAAGGGAAGAGAGGAAGAATAAACAAAAACCTAACAAGGAGCAACTAGGTTAGAAACACAAATGTAACTGCTAATGGTCCTTCTTAAGGAGCCCGGGCGGTAGCGTAGGATAAACAATGGACAGCTACTACCAGGATGGCAGTTCAAACCCACGAGCAGTTCCACAGAAAAAGGCAAGGCTTTCTGCTCCCATAAAAATGTACAGCTTTGGGAATCCTACACAGGGTCACTATGAGTCACACAGACAGCAATGTGGTAATGGTCCTTTTTATAGCATGGAATCCACACCTTTCCCAGGAAGGCTGTGCTCATGAGGCTGGGAGAGCTTTCCTGCAGGCTCCTTATCACTACAGGAAGCACATGCACCCATGGAAACGAAATATTGCTATAGATAAACAATACTGTTGAAGCATGACCCACGGATGACTTCATTTCCTATACAGCTCAGAGTGGAACACTTCCCATCCGGGCCTTCTCTTTTGAGGATGAAACCATTAGAACTCTGTCTCAGCAACTATCCAAAAAGGAGGCCTACAGTGCTTGCCGAGGCAGTCAGCCTGGTTTCACACAGATGTCATCGAGTCAAAGCTTTGCAGTCACAGTCAGTGGATCCTTTTCAATACTTTAGTTTCTCATCAAAACATCTGAGAATGTGGTGTCATTTCTTCCTTCTCAGTGAGTGGCTGCTAGACACTGAAAAGACTTTTTTTTTCCCCCAGTCTTCAGACTCACCCTCTAATAGGAGATAGGAGTATTTCTGAATGCGTACCCAGTTTGGGGTAATCTAAAGGGAGTCCTGCTGTGGCACTGTGGGTTAATGTGCCCAACTGCAAAGACATTTGAACTGCAAGGTCGGTGGTTCAAGGTCACCAGCCGCTCCTTGGAAACCCTATACAGGGTCACTATGGGTCAGAACCAACTCGATGGCACTTCACAACAAATGGTAGATGGGCAGATGTGGTGTATGTGTGAAACTTCACTGTATGTGCTATATTTCAGCAGGCAGGAGAAAGAGCAGGCACAGGAATTTCATCATGGATGTTTTTGGTGGAAGAAGGGGTCAATTAATGATTAGAAAAAAAAACGGATCCAGTGTAATCCAGTCTACAGCTGT